AGCTGGTTCCACTGCCGTATTGTTCTGAGAGTCAGGAGGAAGCTCTTGCTGATGTCCAGCCTGAAGCTGGGTTGTCGCAGCTTGAACTGATTATTCCGTCTGCTGCACTCTGGTGCCAGCAAGCAGAGGTCTTGCCCTTCCTCTTTTTACAGCCTTTGAGGTACCTAGAGAGGGATGTTCTGGGCCCCCCTGCCCAGCCTTCTCTTCTCCAGGCTGGACATGCCCAGTTGTCTCAGTCTCTCCTCAGCAGGGCTTCCTGCTTTTGACAGCTCGTACTTTTTTGATTCCATTGAGCAACGCATTCCTCACCTTGTGTTGCTCTATTTTGCTTCTTTTTCCCAGGTGGAGGACTTGGTACTTGTCTTTACTGAATCTCATTGTGTTGCTTTCAGCCATTTTCACGTTTATCAAAATTGGCCTCAACCTTCATTTTGTCTTCTAGGGTGTTTGCTATTCCACCAAATTTTTAATTACCTGGAAATTCAATTATGTTTTCTTCTACTTCCTCTTAAGGCTTAGTAAGTTTCTATTATTCCTATAAGATTCCCCTCATGCATGATGAGCTCAGTTTTGTGTTGGCTGGTTCCCTATTCTGGGCATTGTTTTAGTGACATCAAACTTCATTGTTGCTGTCCCCTGGTTTTCTTCCTATGCTTCTTGGGATACTGGTGTTGGTTCCTGCTTGAGGGTTGAGGTTTTTTCCTCTGTTGAAATGTGTAAGTTTTCCAAAATCTCCAGTGTACACCGCCTATTGCCAAATGGAGATCCATTGCAGGTCTGCAGCCCCAGAATGGATCTCAATCACAGCAGAGGGGGAGCATTAGAGCCCCTGTGCCCCCACGCAGTTGGATCTTCATCCAGAGCAAGACCCCATATTGTACAAAAGACACTGCTGCTAACCTCATCTTTGCAGTAATGCAAGTTTAGACCCTCAGGCCTCCCCTGTATCAATTCTTTCATTTGCCCACCGTCTTTATTGGGGGGCATTGATAATTGTACAGGTAAGACTTTCTCTGAGAAATCATGATTGATGAGAAGGCGGCAAGGCAGACAGGATGCCCTGTTCTTTCCTTTTCCTTTTCCTTTTCTAAGCACGACTGGCTTTCAGGGCCAATGCTGAGCTGAAGTGGATGACTGCAGGTTTTCCCATAGCCTATCAAAACATTTTTGCCCTTCTTTGTAAAAAAGAAAGTAAGGAACAACCACATAGCTGAGAACTACAGACGTATGGCATTTTCATATGTAACACATGCTGAAAGCCGGATTGATCTTTGTCACTGGTATTCAGACCTTTGTGTTCACCCCACCACCCATCTAGAAATAACTGGGTGTATAAACAGAACCTTCTCAGAAGTCTTGTCTCTAGGTGGGATCCTCTCTAGGAGACAACTTGGCTCATCACCCTTTGCAGAAACTCATTTCTAACCTGTTTTAACTCAACTGTTTACCCTCCTTAGCAGTCTGGAGCAGAGTAAATGCCTAAAACCAGGCTGCATGCTGGAGTTGGGGGTCCTCTTGGCATCCCTCTGGGGCCAAAGTTGTGTGTCTTGTGGGAGGGGGGACTATATGAAGAATACTGAGGTTGGAGGCCAAAGGCTTCCAGGATAGGAGAAAAGCTTGAACGCTGCTGGACAAGAATAGCGTCCATGTCATGGAAGTACGTTCTAAGATTCCAAGCTGACTTAAAAAACACACACAACAAGGGCCTCTGTGTTCCAGTGCAACACAATATATTTGTGCATCGGAGGTTCCCAGCATGCAGTTCTCCCGTGCAGTCCGCAGCATGCCGTGCACAATCACAATGTCAGGATTTGCACTTCACTCGGCTGTGTATTCCAATGCACCTCCAAATCGTTTGTGCATCACAGCATCGGGATCCCACCCTTCCTCTGCTGAACTCAGGGAGACTAACCTGCCCTATTTATGTGGGATGGGTTAGACCAGCCTTCCCCATTCCAGGGCCCTCCAGCAATGTCATACTGCAATTCCTGTCATTCCCAGCTAAGGCCAGTGGGAGTCAAAGCCCAGAAGACCTGGAGAGCTCCAGACTGGGGAAGGCTGGGTTAGACCGCAATGACGGCGATGCGCCCAAGACCGCCTGGGAAGCAGCACTGCTGAGACAGCCTCCTACCCAAGGCCTCTGAGGTCCCGGTCCAACCCTGTCCCACACACTGGACTGGATCTGTAGATAGAGCTGATGTACCACTGAATGCTTTGTGTTCTTATGTTTCTCTCAGTTCGTGGTGCTGGTGACCTGCTTTCCCCCCGCAGAAACCCAGAGCACTTTAGATGGGGCTCAGAGGCAAGCTCCCGCTTAGGCAAAGAGCAGGCTGAGACCTGAGTAGCTTTCACAGTGTTAACGGCATCCTCTGTCCTTTGGTTATTAAACAAGTGCATTCTGTCTCTGTGTGGTTTATTCCCCGTGGCTCTTAGGGGCATTGGCTGCAGGATTTCAGGGTATCTGATCTCTGTGGGATGCCGACATATTAATGATGCATGCAGCTTAAATGCTCACCGTGACCCCAGCAACGTCTCCTCTTCCCAGTCGCCATGCTGACCGTGGAAGCACCCCGAGCTCTGTGCTCCCCCCTCACACCTTTCTGATGTGCGGCTGGCCCACTTCTGCTCTGAGCTGGAAACTGTGGAAGCTGCTGGGAGGGGGCACCTGCCCCGAGGCCAACAACTGGCAGCCCATGGGCCGCATCTGCCCTCTGACAAACCAGAGGCAAACGGGGGATTCAAAGCGAGGTGAGCACAGCAGGGTGCCTGGGCTGATAGAGGTGGGGGTCTTGTCTGGCCAGCCCCCTCTTCTCAAGAGGACCCTTGAGAAGAAGCATTCTAGAGGTTTTTCCTGTTTCTTCAGAGGGGGAGCTCGGTCTGGAAGGGCAGACAGATCGCCTGCCTGACGTGCCTCCCGCCACCTTTGCGTGTCCGCAGGTCGCAGCCCGAGCAAACAAGAGAGCGCACCCAAGTATCTCTCCATCTCCGTGCAGCATTAATGTTCCCCATTTGGAAATCGACGGTTGTTTTCTAAGTGTGGGCCCCAGGCTGAGACAGGCTGCCGCTATCTCCTATTGAAAAGATGATCCTTCCACCCGATAGGGCGGGCTTATCTCAAATCTGACTGGGAAGGGCGAGGAGCCTGCGTCATTCGCTTGCCTCTGGCAGTCCTGACCAGTGCAAAGGAGGAAGGGGATTTCAGCAGGCCAGTGCCAAGCACCGCATACCATGCATGATCTGGCCGCTGTCCTCCCCACAGAGCACTCACGTGCCTGGACCGCCACGGCACCTGTGCTCGGTTTGCCAGCTGGCTGCGCTGTCCCTGCACACACACAAAAGCATTCGGCTTGTCTTGCTTTTTGATCAGACAGGCTTTGCTGTTCTGGATATTTGGTTTCAACCTGCCATTGGATTCCAGTCTCAGTCATCCCTGACCATCGGCCATTTTGACTGAGGCTGATGGGAGTCCGACAACATTAGAAAGCTCACAAGCTTCCCTTCTGTAGTTTATATAGTGAACCCTCCAGTTTGGCAAGGCAGAAGATCAACAGTGCTTCTGTAAGAAGGAACAGAAGGTTCATGATGGAGGTGAACATGGATGGGCATGGTAAGATCAACCAAAACCAATGTAAGAGTTAGTGGTGGGAGAAGCAGGGCAAGACAATTCTGGACCCAGGACTTCATGGTCTTACGAGAGGCTCCTTTAGATGGCCATGTGAAGTTGAGAAACACACAATCGACCTGCAACTTTCCCTCCACTCTCCAACTTCTGCTCCACGTTTTAAAACTACTACTCCTACCTTTCTGATATGTTAGAACAATTTTTAAAAGACCCCCCTTCTGAGCATTTGCAGCCTTTTCATTTTAAATGCACTTAAATCATAGCCTCGTGACTGGAAGAATAAAAAGGGGGGTTGCTTCGGCTGCCTGCCACTTGCTCCCACCCCCCGCTGCAGGGTCCTGGGCTGTGCCCCAAAAGCCAGTTCTCATGCCACTGCTGCACACAGATGCCCTGCCATGAAGACAGCACAGCTCCCTCATTCTAGACAAGTACCATCCTCTTTCCTGGGCCATGATCCACAGCATCGTGGCACACAGGAATACCAGTCTGCAACCGGAAGGTGGGCCTGTGAGCCCACCCCGTTCTTTCTGCCCCATGTTCCATTCACAGATTCTCCCTTTACGGAGAATTCTTGGATGCCAACCAGGGTGGAAGGAAAGATTGGGAGGGAGAGTGCAAATGAAGCAATACTGCCCATAGAAAGGAAGAGCTTGTGTCCCAACAAGACAACCAGCCCAAGTATTCCAAGAGTTCCAAGCTAAGTCAACCCTACAAGCCTGTTGAAAATAAAAATAACAGTCCTGGTATTTGGGGTAGAGAGGAAAGAGACCATGTTCTGTATGCTGCCACACAAGCTTCCCATCTTGTAAGAATGGGCAACCAGCTCCAGAGCTTCAGAGCCAAATGATATCTTCCGGAGCTTGAGCATATCCTCAAGGGCAGGTTTATGGGATTATCAAAAGCTGAATGCCTCTCCAAACCCTCACTTAGCCATCACACTTCTGCTGGAGATAGGGGTTATCAAACCAGTTCTTCTGGCCCTAACCTGTTCTAGCATTTACTGGATATTTGATAGCCCAAGAAAACTGGGAATGTGTGAGCGAATGTCATTCTGAAATGGCTCCACTGGAGAATGGGGACGTAACACCTGAGCGTGGAAGCACATTATTCCATCATAAAAGGAGTCTGCAGTCAACCCCAAGGAGTTCCTAGGGATCGCACAAGCTTGTCTGCATTTGCCTGTTTATTCAACACACAGGAAGACCTTGGTGTTGCTCATGCCCCAGGAAGCACGTCCAATATGGAGGACTTTTCTTCGGCCCTTCATTGGCA